ATTTTTAGTGTATATTTATAATAATGCAGCAAATCTACAGTGTTTTATTAACCAAAACTGTTTTTCGCGTTTTCTCGAGTGAAGTTTTGATCGAGTACGACTCATTGGGACCGCCGCCAAATCAAGTGCCTTCGGACTAGGACATTCAAACTCGCAGTTATCATTCAAAAGATAATGATGGTGCGAAATATGTCTGGGTTTTTAAAGAAAATGCTTTGTCACAGAATAATAGTCTGTTAAAGGTGCCAAGTATGAAATAATTTGGGGACAAAAAAACAAACCTGCATAGAAATCGGAATAATAGGTCTTTTGATTATCAGAGACGCATTTCAATGGACTTGATTACGGACAACGCATAACTTAAATTTCACCAGGAAATTCCGCAGTGTGCTCTCGCAATCGCGGACTTAGTCATTTTTACAAGGTTCGCCGATTTTGATGTCACGTGATAATTATGTAAACAATGTCTGTCCAGTTTGTGCGAACTTGCACCTCTATACTTAGTCTTTTGATATATATAACCTAAATTACTGTTCTGAACGAGACAACAGACAGAGAATGTTTTATTTGAAAACGTCACAAAACCTTCTCGCTACCTTAAACAGCCTTCATAACAAAAGGTAACATTCATGCTGTCACAGTCATATATGAGTCACTCAATTATTGAATAGACATCACTCATTATTTTTAATGCTATAAATCCTGATGACTTAAAGGTGTGTTGTCAGCAAAACTTATTTGAAAGCCCTTATATGGATGGAACCTGGAGAAATAGATTGTTCTATCCAAGTTAAAATATCTGTCAGTACCGGTATATTGAAAATAAGACTGCATGTTGTATTCAATCCTCTGTTATGTCAACGTTTTTTTAAATCATGTATGCATTGGCAAATGTTGCAAATCCTATCCTGCACTCTGTCATAAATTGATCATTTTAAAATGACTGAGGTTTAGGACAAGACAACCAAATGTGAAGATAATGTTACAAGTAATATGCCAGGCTGTAGACCATTTTTGACTCCCGTGTGCGAAGCACAAAAGGGAGTCTTTGCAGTTACCCTGTCTGTATGTCTGTATGTATGTCTGTATGTATGTATGTATGTATGTCACTTTTTTTGTTCCACCGTTATCTCAAAAACCACTTATCAAATTTTGGTGAAACTTGGTACATAGATGCTCTGGGATAATGCGCAGAGTTGATTAGGTTTTGGTAAAAATTCATAAATATTAATTACCTAATTTGCATGATAATTAGCTGATTTTTAGCTGTTCCATGACTGTTCCACTGATATTTGAAGAACCACTCATTGGATTTCGATGAAACTTGGCACATGGATACTCTGAACTAATGCGCAGATTTGATTAGTTTTGGGTAAAAACCTGTTTATATTAATTACCTAATTTGCATAATGATTAATCAATTTCCGGCTTTGAATTCCACTGATATCTCAAGTACTAATCCTCACATTTCAATTAAACTTACACTGACCTGATAGTTTTTAGGGTAATGTTAGTACACATTAATTACCTAATTTGCATAATTAATTAATTTTCATCTTTTGATATTTCGAGTAGTAATGATCACGTTTCAATGAAACTTGGTACATAGTTACTTGATGACTGTGCAAGACCCCTAATCA